CGGAAGTGACTTCACCACTGAGCTAAAAGGGTGTCTGGGGGCCATACTCTCGGGGTTTCTCCAGTCTCCTTTAGGCCAGTAAATCTGGTCTTTTTTGTGTGTGTGAGAATTTTGTTCTACATCCTTATCCAGCTCTGTCTAGAACCCTCTATTGTGATCCCGGTCAGAGCAGTCAGTGGTGGATTCCAGACCTTTTTCATTACCCCAAAAGGAAATCCTATAACCATTAGCAGCCTCTCCCCATTCCCTCTTCTCCCAGCCCCTGGCAACCACCAATCTGCTTTCTGTCTCTATGGATTTACCTATTCTGGATATTTCATATAATGTGTAACATTTTATAATTGGTTTATTCCATGGTTGAGTTCTTACGTGATCTCTACAATAACCCTGTGAAGTAGAGAGGGCAGTGTTTAGTTAATTTAATTGATTTATTTATATGAGCAGATAGTAGAGAGAGTTCTCACATAAAGTCCACACATACCTGCCCGCCGTTACCCCTATTAACATCTTACATTAACTCATGGCCGTTGAGTAGATTCCAACTCGTAACGACCATAAAGGACAGAGTAGAACTGCCCCATAGGGTTTCCAAAGCTGTAATCTTTCCAGAAGCAGACTGCCACATCTTTCTCCTGTGGAGAGGCTGAGTGGGTTCAAACTGCCAACCTTTCGGCTAGCATCCAAGAGTTTAACCACTGCACCACCATGGCTCCTTAACATCTTACATTACTATGGTATATTTTTTACAATTACTGAACCAATATTGATATGTTATTATTAATTAAAGTCCATAGTTTATTTAGATTGTCTTAGTTTTTACCTAATGTCCCTTTTCTGTTCCGGGATGTCACCCAAGACACCATATTGCATATAGTAGTCAAGTCTCCTTAAGCTCCTTTTGGCTGTGACAGTTTCTCAGCTGTCCTTGTTTCGATGACCTTGACCATGTTGAAGAGTCTTGGTCAGGCATATTGTAGAATGTTCCTCAACTGGAATTTGTCTAATGTTTTTCTCATGATTATTGTTATCGTTATGTGTCATAGAATCGATCCTGACTCATAGCAACCCTATAGGACAGAGTAGAGCTGCCCCATAAGGTTTCCAAGGCTGTAATCTCTACAGATGCAGATCGCCAGGTCTTTTCTCCTGCTGGTGGGTTCACACTGCCGACCTTTTGGTTAGCAGCCAAGTGCTTAACCAATGTGCAACCAGAGCTCCTCATAATCAGATATGGGGTTATGCATTTTAGGAAGACCACAGAGGTAAAGTGCCATTTTCGTCGTGTGGTTGTGTTATTTCTGATCATCTCTTTTCCTGGGAAGCATCATAGCCACTTTCCAGATGAGGAAACAGGCACAGCATGTAAGAGAGCTGGGAATGGTCAAGCCAGGACTTGACCCCACATCTGCCTCTTCCCACTGAACCGTCATCTCCCTCTACCCTGGGTGAGGTCATGTTACCTGTGAGTCAGCGTTGCCTGTTTCGTACGAAGTCCAGGATCCCCAGGAAAGGTCTTCTAGCTAATGAGATCACAACTTAACAGCATGTAATGAGCAGATGGGGAAACGGAGGCCCAGTGAGGGGAAGTGATTTATTTGCTTGGGCCTAGCTCTGCCCCCATTTTACCCAAGCTGGTCTCATGCCAGCCCTCTCTTCATACTTGCCTAAGATTTCTAGACCTGTGCTGTCTAACACAGCAGCCATTAGCCGCATCCAAACCAAAACCAAACCCAGTGCGTTGAGTCAATTCCAACTCACAGCGACCCCATTAGAGTTTCCAAGGCTGTGAATCTTTACAGAAGCAGACTGCCATATCTCTCTCCCACGGAGCCGCTGGTGGTTTTGAACGGCCGACCTTTCGGTCAGCAGTTCGAGCACTTTAACCACTGCACCACCAGGGTTCCTATTAGCCACATGAGGCTATTTAAATTCATTAAAATGAAGTAAAATGAATAATTCCATTTCTCAGTCACACTACCACCGCCAGTTGCCGTCCAGTTGATTCTGGCAGCCTCATGTGATTGACAGTAGAACTATGTTCTATAGGGTTTTCAGTGGCTGTGATCTTTTGGAAGGAGATTGCCAGGCTTTGCTTCTGAGATGCCTCTGGGTGGATTTGAACCACCATCCTTTCAGTTGGCAGCCAAGCACTTAACCATTTGGGCCACCCAGAGAGTCCTTCAGTCATATTAGCCACATTTTAAATGTTCAGTAGCCACACATTGCTAGTGGCTACCATGTTGGATAGCACAGATATAGAAGGTTCTATTGGACAGTACTGCTCTAGTGCTGGCCAGAGGCTGGCGGGGCTGTGAGAGCTACTGGAGGAAAGGAGGGTTAACTCAGGACCCCACATCAGCCTGATTGAATGGTTTTGCCTCTTCAGCCGCAGAGTGAGTAGAGGCTGCCCAAAATGTTCAGCCACCAAAAGTTAAGTCTTGACAGAGACTAGAGGAACCCCTGAGACTATAGTCCCAGGACATCCTGCTAACTCAGAACTGAAGCCACTCCCAAAGTCCATCTTTCAGCCAAAGGTTAGACAGGCCTGTAAAACAAATGATAACACAGATGTCGTGGATTGAATTATGTCCCCCCAAAAATGTGTGTATCAATTTGGCTGGGCCAAGATTCCTGGTCTTGTGTGATTTTCCTATATGTTGTAAATCCTGCCTGTATGATGTTAATGAGGGAGGATGGGCGGCAGTTGTGTTAGTAAGTTAGGACTCAGTTTACGAGATTGGATTGTGCCCTGAGGCAATCTCTTGAGACATAAAAGACAGAAGTGAGCAGTGAGACAGGGGGACCTCATACCATCAAGAAAGCAGTGCCGGGAGCAGAGCACGTCCTTTGGACCGGGGTCCCTGCGCAGAGAAGCTCCTAGTCTGGGGGAACACCGAAAAGAAGAAGGCCGACAGAGAGAAAAAGCCTTCCCCTGGAGCTGATGCCCTGAATTTGGACTTTCAGCCTACCTTACTGTAAAGAAATAAATTTCTCTTTGTTAAAGCCATCCTCTTGTGGTATTTCTGTTGGAGCAGCACTAGATGACTAAGACAACAGGTGAGGAATGTCCTTCTTAGTTCAGTCGAGTATATGAGACCAAATGGGCAACACTTGACCAAGAGAAAAGACAAGAAGGCAGGAAGGGACATGAAAACTGGACGAATGGACACGGGGAAACTGGAGTGTAAAGGGAAAGGGAGAGAGTGCTGACAAATTGTAGGGATTGCAACCAATGTCACAAAACAATTTGTGTGTGCATTTTTGAATGAGAAACTAATTCCACTGTAAACTTTCACCTAAAACACACGCGCAAAAAAAGTTAAGTCCTTTTGTCTGGGTTCTTTGGGGTCACAAAGACACAGAGGAACAGGCACTGCTGCAGGATTTGGGCCTGAGTGCTGTTAAGTGGGTGGTTGGACATGGCCTGAGGAAGGAGGAGTAGCCAGAGCTACAAAGTCCTCCAAGGCTAATGGTAATAACAATCATTTACTGAGCACTAACTCTACGCAGGAGCCCTGGTGGTGCAGAGGTTAAGAGCTCAGCTGCTAACCAAAACGTCAGCAGTTCGAATCCACCAGCCACTCCTTGGAAATCCTATGGGGCAGTTCTATTCTGTCCTATAGGGTTGCTATGAGTTGGAATTGATGGCAACGGATTTAGTTTTTTTGGTAACTCTACCCAAGATACTATGCTAAACACCGGGCATGGTCCTTTCAGGTTAAGTCTGATTGCAAACTCCATTTTACAGAGGGGACAAATGAGGCTGAGAGGTTAAGTGACTGACCTAACGTCACACAGCAGGATCAAGATGTGAGTCAGATCTGGTGCTTATGATACCACAGTACCCCTTGAGGAGAGGGGATGGTCAGTAGAGGTGCTGAAAGCCCCTTGAGGCCGAGAGGAGGTATAGTCCTGCGTACCTCCCATCCCCCAGCCAGGTGGAGGCTTTCCACAAGGCACGCTGGGCAAATTCCCACATGCAGAGGCTTAGGCAAAGCACCTGGTAGGTGAGGGGGGTCAGGCTGCTACTGTAAACCCTCTCCCTGTGGAAGGAGGCATAACCCGTGTGACAGCCCAAACCTGGCACCTGGACCGCAGAGGTAGCAGAGGAATGGACTGAGCAGGTCACTGGGCAGCAACCCCCCCAAGCCCCTACACACTGCCCCATGACCTTCTGCTGCCCAAGAGCTGTGCACAGGTGTCCCAGCCTGGAAAAAACACACTGTCCAGTGGAAAGAACAACTAAGGATAGTTTCTTTGCTCTTTCAGGTGACAACGTACCCACACTCCTGCAAGGTCATGCCTGCCCAGCCTCTGAAGAAAGGCTCCTGCTTCCAGGAAATGCCTAAGAACAGCTACCATTTGCTGAGCACCTCTATATGCTCAGCACTGTGCTGAGGGCTTTCCATACATTGTCTTTCAGCCTCACAACAATCTTCTGATATAGTTATTATTGTTGTTGTTGTTGTTGGCATTATCACCCACATTTTGCAGATGAAGAAAAGTGAAGTTCAGAGAGCTTAAGTAACTAGCCCAAAGCCACACAGCTGGAAAGTGATGGAGATAAGATTTGAACCTGTGTCTGCCTACCTCCTAGTCCAGGGCTCCCTTCAATAACAATAACAACAATAACAACAGTGGCTAACATCCATTGAGTGCTGTGCCAGGAAAGATACTAAGCTTTACAGAGGTTAGTCCATAATCAAGTGCTATTACAGATCAGCAAATTGAGGCAGTACATAAAGTATCTGTACCTTTTTTCCACACCCAAAGCTACCATCCTCAGCCTCTCCTCCTAACTGGTCTAGTGGCATCCACTCTCTACTGCCCCATCCATCCAAGAAGTGGTGCGATGTGTAACTAAAACTAAACCTGAGGCTGTCGAGTCCATTCCAACTCACAATGACCTGATAGGACAGAGTAGACTGCTCCATAGGGTTTCCAAGGAGCAGCTGGTGGATTTGAACTGTCGACGTCTTGGTTAGCAGCTGGCCTCTTAACCACTTTGCCACTAGGGCTCCAATATGTAGCTGGTGGTTCCCAAACCAGGGCAATGGGCAAACCAGGATGAGTTGGTCACCCTATTCGTGCCTAACACAGTGCCTGGCACACAGTAGATGCTTGGGAAATAGTTGTCAAATGAATGTGCAAACCAGGAGCTGTTGGTCCTGCTCGGTGGAGGCAGCTGTTGCTGAGCTGCAATCTCCCATTTCCCAGCATCTAGAGCAGCCTGATATTAACAGCAGCTGTTTACCAAAGGCTGTGGTGTTTTCAGTTGCCTCACATGCATATGAAAGCTGGGCAATGAATAAGGAAGACTGAAGAAGAATCAACACCTGTGAATTATGGTGTTGGCGAAGAATATTGAATATACCATGGACTGCCAGAAGAATGAACAACTCTGTCTTGGAAGAAGTACAGCCAGAATACTTCTTAGAAGATGGCAAGACTGTCTCACATACTTTGTACATCTTATCAGGAAGGATCAGTCCCTGGAGAAGGACATGCCTGGTAAAGTAGAGGACCAGCAAAAAAGAGGAAGACCCTCGATGAGATCGATTGACACAGTGTTTGCAACAATGGGCTCAAGCATAACAATGATGAAGAGGATAGCGCAGGACCGGCAGTGTTTTGTTTTGTTGTACTTAGGGTCGCTATGAGTTGGAACCAACTCAACAACAACTAACAACAACAAGAGCAATTTTCCAAGTGTCTGGCTGCTAACCAAAAAGTTGGTAGTTTGAATACATCCAGTGGCTCTGTGGGAGAAAAGACCTGGTGATCTGCTTCCATAAAGATTACAGCCAAGAAAACCCTATGGGGCAGTTCTAGTCTGTCATATAGGGTCCCTATGAGTAAAAACTGACTCCACAGCACCTAACAACAATTATTTACCACGTACTTACTATGTACCTTGCCTACTGCTGAGTCCTGTGTGTTCATGCTCCCATTTAACCTTCAACCACTCCCCTGCTTTTTTGAGTTGATACTCATATAACATAAAACTAACCATTTTAAATTGAACAATTCAATGGCATATAGTACATTCAAAATGTTATGTAACCACCGCCTCTATCTAGTTTCAAAACATTTTCATCACCCTAAAAGGAAACCCCATAGCCATTAAGCAGTCACTGTCTGTCATGGATTGAATTATGTCCCAAAAAAATATCTGTCAACTTGGCTAGGCCGTGATTCCCAGTATTGTGTGGTTGTCCACCATTTTGTCATCTGATGTGATTTTCCTACGTGTTATAAATCTTACCTCTATGATGTTAATGAGGCAGGATTAGAGGCAGTTATGTTAATGAGGTAGGACTCAATCTACAAGATTAGGTTGTGTTATGTCAATCTCTTTTGAGATATAAAAGAGAGAAGCTAGCAGAGTCAAGGGGACCTCATTACCACCATGCAAGAAAAGCCAAGAGCACGTGTCCTTTGGATCTGGAGTCCCTGCACTGGAAAGCTCCTAGACAGGAGAAGACTGATGACAAGGACCTTTCCCCAGAACCGACAGAGAAAGCCTTTCCCTGGAGATGTCTCCTGGAATTCAGACTTCTAGCCTCCTAAACTGTGAGGGAATAAATTTCTCTTTGTTAAAGCCATCCACTTGTGGTATTTCTGTTATAGCAGCAATAGACGACTAAGACACTCCCTGTTCCCCTCAGCCCCTGGCAACCACCAATCTGCTGTCTCTATGGATTTACCTATTCTGGATATTTCATACAAATGGAATCATACATACGTGACCTTTTGTGTCTGGCTTCTTTCATTCCCCTTTGACAGATGAGAAAACTGAGGCTCAGCGAACATGTCCTTCAAGCTAGGAAGAGGAGGAGTTGAAACCCGTCTGGCTGTTAACGTCTACCCACCCCCATGTGAGCTGGTTTTCCTACCTTATCCTCTTAGGATTCTCTGTGAGTTAAAGTCAAACCAGAGGAAAGGGGGTCCAATGCTAAACTCTGAGGCTGGTTAAGAAGTTGGAGATGGAAGCTGGGTCAAGTGGAAAGAAAGTGAGGATCATTCCAGAAGGAAAGCGGGAGAGTCTGCACAAGAAAACAGGGATCCCCGATGTACCTCGACCCAAATACACACAGACACGCAAGACAGTCACAAGCCCAGCACCGTTTTCAAATAATTTATTAGGAATTTAAAACTGAAAATAAAACCTGGAAAAAGAAGTTACAGATGTGGAGAGAAGAGACACCGGAGGGTGGTAACTTGCTGGCTTTGAAACACCATGTAACATCTTTTTTGAAAATTCCCCAAACAAATCAGAAAACGGAATTCCAGAGCCCTGAGCCCATGGGTGGGCCCAGGGGGGCGGGAAGGTCAGAGGGAGGGGAGAAAAGGGAGGCCAAGTCCCTCAGGACTCAGCTCAAACGTGTAGAAAATTAAAAATAAAAACCAATAAAATGCAGCTTCTCTTTTATTAGGAAACATTAAAAAAAAAAAAAAAAAAAAAAAAAAAAACCACGAACAGCCGAGTCTCAGTAACAAAGATTATTGCTTTGTGTTCTCAGGGCTAATAGGTTAAGCACCTCACAGACAATTAACTCTCCAAAGGCGAGGTTTGAGGGGTGGGGGCTGTGAGGGGGAAGGGAGCTTCGGCCCCCAGCCTCAGGCCCGAAGGAGAGGGAGCCAGTGAAGGGGAAGACCACGGGTGGGCCTCAGCCCTGCCCCACCGGCCAGGCCGCTGGTCATAAAGATTCAGACCCTGAGCCTCTTTTTCCTTTGAAGGGGGTTCTGGGGTGGGGGAATATCAAGGGGCTCTGGCCATGGGACCATCCTGGTGGGAAACTTCAGTGAGAGAATGTGGGGGTTCCCTGAGAAGCTTTGCTTTCCCCTGGAGTCCGCCCCTTCCCAAAATGTCCCCGATGCCCACGTGTTGGGGGCCGGGGGCTCAGAGCAGAAACCATGAGGGCCCAACCTGGGCAGGGGGCAGGGGAGACCTTTGGAGAGTTAATTCCTTTCCAGTAGTGGCTCCAGGCAAGCCCTTCTCTTCCCTCACCCCCCACACTAGGTTTTCGGGGTGAGGAGACCCAAGGCCTTTCCCCTAGGGCCTGAGAGAGCCGGCCTGCTGCTGCCACAGTGGAGGCCTACAAGCTTACAGTAACGGTGTCTGAGGAGGGGACAGAAACACGGGGGGGGAGACGATGTCCTCATCCCCGGGGGTTCCAGAGGGGGTGAGGGCTTCACCTCCCAGTATTTACATATGATACAGGACGGGGATGGGTCCAGGGGCTCGGCCTGGCCTGCGCAGCCCTGTCCTCTCCAGGCCTGAGGGCTGCGGCCAGGGGCCCACACCCACATAGACACTTTGTTCTTAGCTGGTGGGGGGCACCTGGCCCCTTGCCCCCTGCGGCCTGGGGCTTCACATTCACAAACCTAGAAATAGTTTAAAAACGGTTTCTCTTTTTTAAAAAAAGAAGGAAAAAAAAAAAAGGAAAGAGAAAAGGAGGGAAAATCAGAATAAAAAACAAGGGATGGGGCTGCGGCCGCTGTAGCAGGCTCCCTCCGCCCTCACTCTAGCTATGCACAAATACAAAAGCTTTCTTGGGGGTCCTATGGGGGCGCGACGGGGAGGGAGGGGCGCAGGCCCGAGAGGGGAGAACCAGGGGGGCAACTGGCTAATCCAAAATAAATAAAAGCGGGCCGGGGAGGGGGTGTCGGGGTGAGGGCTGAAAAGGGGGAGGTTAGTATGGGAGCGAGATGACGTGGGGGGCAGCAGGGCAGGGGCCGGGCCGAGGGTAGGAGGGCAGGCAGTAGCGGGGTCCGAGTCGCTGCGGGGGAGGGGGCGGCGGCTGCGGCTGAGGTGTCCCCGCCCCCTCGGCTGGCTCACTCGTGGTCCTCAGTCAGCTGCAGGCTGGGGTGCTGAAGACACAGTTGGGAGGTTATGGGGGCCTGGCCTCTCTTTGGGGTCCTCCTAATGCTCCTCCCCTGACCGCCTCCTAGGTGAGCTTTGTTCCCGGCCTTTGCATTGGCTGATCCCAGTTTTGAATGCTCTTTCCCCAGATACTGAATTTATTAAAATTTATTCAAATGTCAATTCCTCCCTGATGCCTTCTTGGAACCCCTTATCTAAAGGGGCTCCTCACACCCACACTATTTCAAACTATCTCATTTGTTTACTTGATTTTTGTCTGTAGATCGAGAGAGGGACCTTGTTCATCCCTCCATAAATACTTGTCCGAGTAAATGAATGAATGAAATGTCACCAGATCATATAGCACCCCATCACATCCCTACTGCAGCCTTCATCATATTGCGTTTTTTGAGTGTGTGCACAGGATTCTGTGCTGATACATAAATCAACTGTATCCTGTTGTTAAATATTTTTTCCTTCTTGCTTTTTTTTGGATTTTAACATTTTTTACATGTACAATCCAGTGACATTAATTACGTTCATCATGTTGCTCAACCATCACCACTATCTGTTGTAACCTGTTTTAATAGCTGTGTAATATTCCATTGTGTGCACACACCCTAATTTATTTTTGATAGGCATTGTGGTTATTTGCAGCTTTTACAATAAATGCCTAGAAGTGGAATTATTGGGCCAAAGGGCATATGTGTTGCAAATCTGGATAAGCACCGCCAGACTGCCCTTCAGGAACGCTGAGCCCAGTCCCACACCATTTCCCCTACACCCTCATCCATGCTGGGCAGGGTAGAGCTTGAAAAATCTTTGCCAACCTGATAGGTGAAATGTGGTGCCTTGGTCTTGTTTTAATTGATGTTTTTAAATGTAGCAGGTTGAGCACCTTTTTATGTTTGTCTCCCCCACTGGACTATGGGTTCCGAGAGGGCTGGGGGTGTCCCACATTCCCCGCTACCACCCTCCACCTTGTACTATTCCCCCCTCCCTCCTTACCTCCTGCCACCTGTCCCCTGCTTCAGTGGTACCCATTGGTGAAAGCTGTGGCGATCAAGGGGCCCTGGGAAGAAAAGAATTTGACTCCTAGATTCCTGGGGAAAATAGAGCAAGCCTAGGGGCTCCCTTGCTCTCCAGCAGGAACCCTGAGGTGAGGCACAAAGCCTTCTTCAGCCCTGCCCCGATTGCCCCCACTGCAGCCCTATTAAAAAGTTCTCGGGTAGGGCCTGGGAATCTGAATGTAACCAGCACCCAGGTAAGTCAGGGGACCCCTAAGTTTGAATCTAACCTCCATGCGGGCAGAAATGGTGTATGTCTCTTTCACACGGTTTTCCCGTTGTTAGTTGCCGCCGAGTCGATTCCGACTCGTGGCGACCCCATGTGTGCAGAGTAGATGAGCTCCATAGGGTTTTCAAGGCTGTGACTTTTGGGAAGCAGATCACCAGGCCTATCTTCTGAGGCGCTTCTGGGTGGGTTCAAACCACCAACCTTTCAGCTAGTATTTGAGCGCTTAACCATTTGTACCACCCAGGGATGCCTCATGGTATCCCTAATGTCCACCTAATACCTGGTATACAGAGGGCCATTATTAAATGCCCAATGAATGAACGACAACCCCCACTCTCCCCTCTTAGGGACCCTCTCTTTCTCTACCCCTTATTCCTCGTCCCTCTTCTGCCTCCACAGACAGACAAGGTTTGTCTGTCTCCCAACTTCGGGGCCTCCCAGGGCCTGGCCACTCACCCCAAGACTGTGGCCGAAGCCAGTGCTGGGGGCGGGGCTGGCGGCGCTGATGTAACTGCTGACCCCTGAGTCCTGGTTGGCCGCCCCGTAGAGCTCGGCCATGGGGCCGGGGCTGGTGGTCCCCAGGAAGCCCCCGGTGCGGCTGGGAGTCGAACCTGGAGGGGGAGCCATCGTCCAGGGGTGAGAGCCTGGCAACCCAGAAAGAAGATGGTGATAGCCCTGGTGCCCACTGCCACCGCACAGTCCCACCCACCCTGATCTTGACCCCTCCTGCTCCCTCTCCCCCACGTCCTAGCAAATCCTATGGGTCTACCTCCTGGTAGCTTTCCAAGTCCATCCACCCACCACTGTTAGCCCAGGCCCCCCCATTTCCTGTCTCTCCACTTGGCAGCCTCCTCACTGGACTCCCCGCCTCCCCACTTCGAGCTCCTTCAAACCCTTCCCTACCCTGTACCTGGGATGTATTTCCTAAAAACTGACCTACATCATCCTGCTGCCAAAAATGTTCAGTGTCTCCTTCCTGGGCCTGGTTCTTCCTGCCTCCTTCTCCCCACCCCCTACCCCTGTATTCTATACCCACGCTAACTGGCCTCTAAGCCTTTGCACATGCTGTTCCCTCTGCTGGGAACACTGGTCCTCCTCCTCTTTGCTTCCGAGTCTGAGGTTAAGAGACCCTGGCCTTCCTTTGAGGCCCCAGCTGTGAGTTCCTCTAGGACCTAATATCCCCCAGGGAGGCAGTATCATTCTTCAGTAGTATTGCTTTTGTAATACCTAATGCCCCCACCTGCCTGTAAGCTCTGGAGGGCAGAGGCCACTTCAGTCCCACTCCTAGCTGGATTCCAAGTCCTGGCACAATGCCTAGCACATAGTGGGTGCTCAGCTAATACTTGTGAGTGAATGAATAAATGAGACCCTCTGAAAAAGGGATGGCAGTGACCAACTCCCCTCCTCTCTGGACTTCTCTGTCCCCTGTGCTTCCTCCCTCAAGTTCTACAGCCCAGAAGTCCTCACCTGTTCCTCGAACCACAGCCGCTGCCGCCGCCGCCGCCGCCATTGGTCCATAAGCAGTGAGAGGAATGGCTGAAAGGAAAGGTATGGGCACTTTAGCGTGGCCGGTGAGGGGACAGAGGTAGATGAAGGGGACCCCTACCTTCTGGGCAGAGCCCCCTCAGCCTTACCCCACCTCAGAGGGGACAAGGCAGAAAGAGCTACTTTGGGCTGCCATTTGTGCCCTGACCCATGGAAGGGATGGAGAAAGGTAGGAGAGAGGATGACTTCCCAGTGAGCAGCTCTGCCTCAGTTTCTCCCCTGGGCTCATGGGACACACTCGGACAAGCCAAAGCTCATAGAGGGTGGAGGCAGGGCTTGATTCATGACCCTGGGCTCCTTGGGGGCTGTAGTGGACACTGTTGGTCCCGGCCCAGATCCCCTTTATTGGGCAGGTGCACCCATCCCTGAGCTGCTGTGTTGCTTGCAGCTGCCCCCTTCCCAGAGAATTCCCTTACAGAACAGGTGCCACCTTGCCCAGAGGTACCTGGGAGGCTGTGTCCCTCATCCCAACTCCAGCAGACTGCAGCCCATGACTGACTGCCACAGGCACAAAAGGCCCACCCCCTTCTCTCAAGATGAGATCGATTCTGTGGTACAATTCACCCTCCGGAGCTCCCTGTGGGATCAGGCGGAAGCTAGACTCCATCTTTGCTTAGCAACTTCCACTGCCTTCTCCTCCTTCCCTCACCCCACTTCTCCTGAGAGCAGGCCCTCAGTAAGTTGTGTGCATCTGAGTCCTTGTTTCAGGGACTCCCTGACCACCCAGCCATAAATGACCAAGCCCCTCAATTCCCTCAGCCCCTTTTCTGTGATCCCCTCTTAAGACACAGGAAGCTTGCTATTTCCTTGTTTGTTGTCTACCCCTTCACCCCTACAGTATCTAACACCTTGTCTTATACACAGTTGGTGTTTAATAAATGTCTGCCGAAGGCACAGAAGTGGCTTCTGCTTAAATAACCCCTTTGGATTCTGTTTAAATAACCCCTTGGCTTGAGCCTTGGGATCACTCAGGCTGAGGGTGAGCGCCCCCTACTGCCCGGCTGTGCTACCGCAGCTCTTGAAGGGCTACAAACCCTGCCCAGAAAGGCTTCAGAGTTTGCATTTGGCAAGCCCTCAAAGACACCGTCTTCCATCCCAAGATGCACCCCTCAGCGCTGTTTTGGCAACCCTGGCCCTGGAACTGAACCTGGGGCAAGGCACACTGGAAACCAGTTGCCAATGAATCGATTCCAAGTCAAAGCAATCCCATGTGTCTTCCCTTAGTTCTTTGAGGACAGGGACAAGGCTGTGAGGTCTGTGTTTTGGTCCATTTAGGCATTTCCACAGAGCAACATCAGAGGAGCCACCCCAAGCAAGTGTTTATCACAACAGTAAAGAAATTCTGGTTTGTATAATTAGTATTGGCTTCCCTCTCTAGACTGCAAGTACTATGAGAGTAGAGGTTGGCTCCCTCTCATCACTGCTGTGCTCCCAGGGCCTGGCAGAGTGTCCCATGTACAGTAGGTGTTAACCTTGTATTTCTGGAAAGAATAGAAAGGACCCTTCACCCCCAAATTGCTTTTCAGACTCTCACTCTGCTCAGGAAGAGCCTTTTATCACCCCTACCCCCAGGACTCTCTCCTCCCTCCGCATGTTTCTCCTCCCCTCCCCCATTTTTGGGAAAAGAACCCCTGACCACCCCTTGGAAGGAAGGTCTCATCTAAAGCAACATCCATGCTCACATCCTCCACACGCTGCCAGGTTGGGGGACAAGAGTCTGGGGTGGGGAGGGGGAGAAGCAGGTTAAACAGAGAAACTCCTTGCAGCCCACCTCTTCTGCACATGTACCCCCTCGGCCTCACTCCCAGCTCCAGAATGAAGCAAATTGGCCCAAGAGAAATTTCCAGTTGGTTCCAGCAAGTTCCTCCCACTTGCCCAGAGGACTGCATTCAGCCCTCAGATATGTGTCATCTGGCCCGCACAGTGTTGTAAAATTTTTGGAATTTGTTACCAACATTTAAAAATAATTGTCAATATCATAACTAGAGCTAAAGCCAGGTTTCTGGCTTCTCTAGAAAAAATAAGACCTGAGAGCACTGGGTTTGCATCCCGCCTGGCAAGGTTGGCTGGAACTGAGGGGGCATGCCCACTCCAGTTTGCACAAGTCCCCATGTGGTCCACTTTGCTCTGAGTCTGAGACCTTGGTTTGTGTGCCAATGGATCTCAGGGCCAGCTGTTGTGCCTGGCACACTGAAGGTACTAGATAAATATTTACCAAGTGAACGAATGAGTGACTTCACCTCCATCTGCTGGGCATGGCCTGATACCCACCCTCAAGGGCCAGGTAGCTATGTGGACTGGCCAATGCCTGGCACAGGCTGCTGTGCCCCCACAGCTGGGGGGCCGGTGGGCAGGAGAAAGGGCTCCCAGCTAGCTTTCCCCAGGAAGGTCCCTGGGTCTCTTCTCTTTCTCCCCCTGTGGCCTGTGAGGTGTACGAAATCCGAGCGACTGACCTGTAAGCTCGGGGAGGACTGGGGCGCTCGGGAGAGGGGTCCGCTCTACACGGAATTCTAAAACAAAACGTAAAACAGCTTAGGAGGAAGCGGGAGAGACCCTGGGGCATGGCCCAGGGAGGACGGAGGCACCCACAGGGACACTGGGTCGGGGACAGGCCATGCACAGGATCCAAGAGCTGGGGGTGGGGGTGAGCATGGTCCCCAGCAGGTAGGGGAGGAAGACCCAGAGGAGACAAAGACACAAAGAAAGAGGGAGTGGACGGAGTTGCCACCTATACCCTGGACGTAGGGCAATGCTCGAGTGAGAGTTCCAGCTGTTTCTTTCTTTCTTTTAAACATTTTGTTGTTGAAAATATACCCAGCTGAACATACACTAAGTTTCTACATGTGCAATTCATTAACACTGATTACATTCTTCAAGTTGTGCAACCATTCTCACCCTCCTCCAAATGTTCCCTCCTCCCCTATTCACATAAACTCACGACCCCCTAAGCTTCCTATCTTTCCAGCTATTTCTTAAAAAGGTTTAGTTAGGATCGAAAGGGGGAGTTTTTGCTTAGGGGGCATTTAGTTTACGTTAATGGTGGTGGAATGATTTGGAAAAGGATAGCAAGAACGGTGGCACAATGTGAAGACTGTAATCAATGTCACTGTATTATCCATGTAGAAATTGCTGAGATGGCATATGTTTGCTGATGTGTTTTTTCACAATAAAATTTTTTAAAAGGAAAAAAAAATTAAATAAAAGAAGTAAATAACAGGCTTAGAAATGAATCAAAAACATCTTCCAGAATCCCCCTCTTCTCCTTTTTTGGGGCGGAACTGGGGAGGCAGCAATGAGGAAGAGCAATGGCCCTTAAGTAAGGTGAGCTTGGGTTCAATTCCCACTTCCACCACATCCTAGCTGAGTTATTTTGGAGGGTCACTTCTCTTTGAGCTTGCTTCCTCATAAAATGGGGATAATTATACCTCATGCCTCAGATGATTGTGAAGATTAGACCAAAAAATGTATACAAAAGAAATCACCTATATGAGACCAAACAGTCAACAATTACTTTAAAACAAAGATGAGAATGTAAGGGGGTAGGGAAACAAGATTAACAGAAATGGAACAACCAGAATGGAAATAAAGAGAATGGTCACGCATTGAGAAAAATGTAATCAATGTCACTGAACAACTTGTGTAGAAATGGTTGAAGGGGAACCTAAACTGCTGTGCAAACTTCATTGAAAACACAATTTTTTTTTTTTAAAGTATACAAAGGATTCCAAGCTGATGGACAGCCCAAGAGGCAGATGATGCAAGTGTTTAGGGACCCTCCGAAAAAGAAGACAACAATTTTTCTTGTTCCAAGAATTGGATATTTGATATTTTAAAGAAAACAACATTGAACAGTCATCACAGGGGAAGTTCAAAACTTTGTTGGGCTTCCTGTCATTTAGTGTTAATTTTTATTTTGAATTACAAATGAGGGCTGTGATTATAGAGTTTTTAATGTTTTTTTCCTTCAGTATTTAGAGCCTCAAAAGGTCTTATCTGGAAACGGCTCAGCATAGCACCTGGTCATTATAAACCAAACCAAACCAATTGCTGTCGAGTCGATTCTGACTAATGGAGACCCAATGTGACAGAGTAGAACTGCTCCATCGGGTTTTCTTGGTTGTAATCTTTATGGAAGCAGATCACCAGGCCTTTCTTCCGTGGTGCCACTGGGTGAGTTCGAACTGCCAACTCTTAGGTTAGTAGCCAATTACAAACTGCTTGCACCACCCAGGAGCCTCTGGTCATTATAAGTGTCCCACTGTTGGTCCTCAGGGAGGTGGCCTCACCACAAGCCCGATGCCTCTTTGGTGGAAGTGGCAACTCCAGAGTAGGGTGGGGAGGAGAGAAAGGCAGGACGCAGGTAGAAACAGTCTGGGAGAGAAGTGTGCCATGCAGGGCCACGGGAGGAGCCCCGGTTCCAGCTCCTGGGGAGGGGGTGGGAAGAGGACTGGGAGGGGAGGCGCTCCTTCCTCAGACATGCCCTTCCTTCCAAGCCTCCAGCAGGCAGACCCCCAGCCATGCACCCTTAGACACCGCCCTAAGGAAGTCAGACTCCCGGGAGCCAGGGTCATGCTGGCAGCAGAGGGACACCAAACAGGACTTACCGGGGAACTGGTAGGTGTAGCCAGGGGCAAGGCCTGTATAACTCCTGCTGGCATAGGTCGTGGCTTGGAAACCTGGGTAACCTAATGGGGCAAGGGAACAACGTCAGAACAGGGGACCCTGCTTGTGTGGAAGAGCCTGAGCCACTCATTTCCTTCCCCCACCCCCATCTCATATCATGAATAACAATCGGTCACACTTATCAAATGCATTCTGTGCACCAAGCCCCATCAGTGCTAAGTAAGTTGCACACTTTATTATCTCATTAAACCTCATAAGAATCTTAACAGGCAGGTGCTATTAAACCAAACCCAAATCCGTTTCTGTTGAGTCGATTCCGACTCCTGGCAACCCCATGTATTACAGAGTAGAACTGATCCATAGGGTTTTCTTGGCTGTGATCTTTATGGAAGCAGATCGCCAGGCCTGTCTTCCGCAGCACCACAGGTTTTTGGTTAGTAGTCACGTGCAAACTGTTTGCACCAGCAAGGGACCTCAGGTGCTATTAAGAGCCCAATTTTACAGACAAAGAAACTGAGGCTCAGAGAGGTGACACTTATTAGTTAAAAATAAAATTCAAACTCCTTACAAAGACCCTCATACCATGACACCTGCCTCCTTCTCTGTCCTCATCTCCTATGCTCTGCTCCAGCTTCCAGCCACACTGGTCTCCCTGCTGTTTCTCAAACTCACCACTCTCCTTGCAACCTCAGGGCCGTTGCGGTGGCTGTTCCCTCAGCCTAGAACAGTCTTCTCCCAGATTTTTGCATAACTGGGTCCTTCTCATTGTCTAGGTCTCAGCTCAAATGTCACCTCTGCAGAGAGGTCTCCTCACAGGAGCCCTTCCTCTAGTCAGTGACAATTTCTATCATGTCACCTGGTTTGCCCCTCATAGCACCAACTGGCATTGTCTGAATTTATCTCATGATTTTTTTTCAGTGTTTATTTTCTGTCTTCCTCACCTCTTTTATTTCTGTATCCCCAGCACTAGCATAGTGTCTGCTACTTAGTAAGCAATTCAGAAATATTTGCAGGGTTGGCAAAAGGTTAGATAGGGAGCTTAGGGGGCAGTGAGTTTATGTTAGCAGTGGAGGAATAATTCAGAAAAGGAGGATGAGAATGGTTGCACAACTTAAAGAATGTAATCAATGTCACTGAATTATACATGGAGAGACTGTTGAATTGGTGTATGTTGGAGGCGGGGGCAAGACGGTGGCATAGTCAGATGCTTCCGGTGGTCCCTCTTACAACAAAGACCCGAAAAAAACAAGTGAATCGATTATATATGGCAATCTGGGAGCCCTGAACATCAAAGGCATAGTTGAGGAACCGGACTGAGTGGCAAGGGGAGGGAGAGACAGTTTAGAAGCAGCGAGGAGTTGCCAGACCTGATCCAGCGAGAGCCTGAGCCCTTAAGGCCTGATCAGCTCAGGAGTGAGCAGTCCTTGGGAGGCGCGTCTGCCGCACCAGGAGAGACCCAGTGCCAGAGAGTCTACTCGGCCACCCAGAACCAGTGAGAAACAGCCCTGGATCGGCAAAAGATAAGTACATGCGTACGGCCTACCGTGTGGATCAAAAACACCCCCCTTGGGGAAAAAATCTCTCTCCCATTTACCTCCCCGCTCCCTGCTCTGCACTGGGTCCCGGACCGGCTTCAGCAATTGCTGAGTCCCCTGAGCCGGAAGTAGGATCTGTCACACACCTGGAGCCATTCTCCCTGCCTTGGAGAGTGAACAAATTAACAAACGGGGGAAAAAATAAACTGCTGGCTCCCCTAAGCCAGGAACCCAGGGTAGGCACAGCCCCTTTGCCTAGGCACAGGCATAAGAGATCCATGGACTTTGAGTGCCTTTCCCCCTGTAAAGACTTGTGTGGGCCCATTTCAACAGTGTAGGCCCTTATTACCACAGTACAAGAGGGTATATGCTTGAAGTCTAACTTCAACCGTTTCAGCTGTGAAGTGGCAGGTCCGTGACATTTGACACTGCTCTGCCCATTAAGCAGAGTCTTCACCTACCCACATTAGAGGCCTGAGGACTGGCTGCTCCACCCACGCCACCTAGCCACCTGCGATAGGGACCCAAGAATAAGAGGTGCCCCCAGTCCTTACAGCCAACAGCAGCAGTGTGTCCCCCTGCTGCAGCCAGATGCCTGTGCCTACACCAATTACCCATGCCTGTCTAGGACTGTAGGTGAGAGCCTACACCACCCACTTGGTGGCTATCTACCTGGGCACCCGAGCTGAATCCATACAGGAGGAGTGGGCGGACTCCTGAGCTCACATACCCAGTAACAGATCTAACCACCTGGTGACAGGACATTAGCACTTCAAAAGTGCCAATAAACAAACTAGCTCATAAGAGCAGCCTATTTGGGCATATAAAAACAAAACAAGAAGCTAGGACGCGTAAGCAAACATAAAATAAATATAATAACTTACTGACAGCTCGGAGACAAAAGTCAATATAAATCACATCAAGAGGCAATCCATGATGGCTTCAGCAAGCTCCCAAAATAAAGAATCTAGGAATTTTCCAGAGGAGGAAAATTTCTTGGAATTACCGGAGGCAGAATACACAAGATTAATATACAGAACTCTTCAAGAAATTAGGGAGGAAATTACGCAAAACGCAGAACACCCAATAGAGGAAATTTAAAAGATTAGAGAAGAGCATAATGACAAATTTAACAGGCTTCAAGAATCCATAGAGAGACAACAATCAGAAATCCAGAAGATTAACAATAAAATTTCAGAATTAGGCAACTCAATAAAAAGTCATAGGAGAAGAATTGAGGCAATGGAAGTCAGAATTAGTGAGACTGAAGATAAAGCACTTGACACAAACTTATTTGAGGAAAAATCAGGTAAAAGAATTTTAAAAAATGAAGAAACCCTAAGAATTATGTGGGACTCTGTCAAGAGGAATAACCTACGAGTGATTGGAGAACCAGAACGGGGGGGATAACAGAAAATACAGAGAGAATTGTTGAAGGTTTGTTGGCAGAAAACTTCCCTGATATCGTGAAAGATGACAAGATATCTATCCAAGATGCTCATCGAACCCCACATAAGGTAGATCCCAAAAGAAAGTTACCAAGACATATTATAATCAAACTTGCCAAAACCAAAGATAAAGAGAGAATTTTAAGAGCAGCTAGGGATAAACGAAAAGTCATCTACAAAGGAGAGTCAATAAGAATAAGCTTGGACTACTCAGCAGAAACCATGCAGGCAAGAAGGCAATGGGATGACATATATGAAGCCTTGAAGGAAAAAAACTGCCACCCAAGAATTATATATCCAGCAAAACTGTCTCTCAAATATGATGGCGAAATTAGGGCATTTTCAGATAAACAGAAGTTTAGGAAATTTGCAAAAACCAAGCCAAAATTACAAGAAATACTAAAGGGAGTCCTCCAGTTAGAAAATCAGTAACATCAGATAACAACCTAAGACTAGACCACAGGACAGAGCAACCAGATATCAGTCCAGATAGGGAAGTCACAAAAATAAATCAAAGCTAAAACACTGAAAATAAGGAAACAGAGATGTCAATATGTAAAAGATGACGGCATTAAAATAAAAAAGAGAGACTTAAAAAATGTAGACATAGATTTTGCATATGGAGAGGAAGTCAAGGCGATATAAAGAAATGAAAGACTGGTATAAACTTAGAAAAAATAGGGGTAAATATTAAGGTAACCACAAAGGAAACTAACAATCCTACAAGTCAAAATAAAAAACTGGAAAAATATTAAGACTCAGCAAACACAAAATCAACAACAATGAAAAAGATGAAAAGAAAATACATGACGAAAAACGACTCAGCAGAAAATTAAGTGGAACAAAGAAAGTGTGAACACCACACAAAAAAAGACATCAAAATTACAGCACTAAACTCATACCCATCAATAATTATGCTGAATGTAAATGGACTAAATGCACCAATAAAGAGACAGACAGTGGCAGATTGGATAAAAAAACACGATCCGTCTATATGCTGCCTACAAGAGACGCACCTTAGACTTAAAGACACAAACAGGCTAAAACTCAAAGGATGGAAAAAAATACATCGAGCAAATAACAATCAAAAAAGAGCAGGAGTGGCAATATTAATCTCTGACAAAATAGACTTTAAAATGAATTGGTGTCTGTTTTGCTGTGTACATTCTCAGCAACAACAACAAAAATAAAATACATCACTTTAGAAAGTAAAAAATATTTGCCGAGTTGAAAGAAAAATCATAGTAATGGTGCAACTGGGGTTTGAATTCAGATCTGACTGGCTCCGAGACTTTTAGCCACCATTATTGCTCATATTAGAAGTTTTCTTTCTTTTTTTCCAATCTTTTAAATGGAGGTAAAACCTGTCCATGAATCACCTGAAAAAAAGAAACTTTCTAACAACAACAACAACAAAAATAAAATACATTATTTAAAAAAAAAGAAGAAGACAACTTTTTCAATGTTCTGGATCAGAGGAGGAGAAATAGACAGGACAACTACAAGCAATGCCTGATGCTAGCCTGGATCCTGTGCGGGCAGGCAAAAATATGCTATAAAGAACACTGTTAGGTCAACTGATAAAAATGGGAACTAGACAGTAGATTATAGAAAAATATTATATCAGTATAAATTTATGAAGTTGATAACTGCACTGTGGTTACATGAAAGAATATCTCTCATCTTAGGAAATACAGGGGGAAGCATTCAGGAATAGAGAGCCACCATGTATATAACTTACCCTCAAATGACTAGGTGAAAATCACAAGAGTGTGTGTGTGTACGTGTACATGTGTGTGCGTATCCCATCTCTTGTTTCTGTGTCTCTATACACACACACAGAGAAAATGATAAAGCAAACAGGATAAATGTAACAATAGATGAATCTGGGTAAAGGGTATGTGGATGCTCTTTGAACTATTTTATTTCTGTAACTCTTCTAAAAGTTTTAAATTACTTTCAAATAACATTTGTTTAAGAAACAAAATAAAATTTCAAGAGAAGACTGTGTCCCATTTGGAAGGTGCTCTTCTTCCCCTTTTTTGGATCCCAATCCTGCCCCTCAGCCCATGCCATGTGCCCCTCCTCTGAACTCCCAGAGCACCTCTCTGCACCCACCTGCCCCCCATACCTGGCATAAAACCCCCTTTTACTGTTGTCTTTCTGTGGGTGCACATCTTATCTCCCCAGGGAGACTTGTACTTCCTGGAGGCCGAGCTCAAATTTATCACGCCCAGTCTTGGGCCAAAAGCACTTCGTGTGGAATCAATGCATGTCCACTGGCTGACTCCTAGGCAACCACCAAGACTTAGCACAGGAGTCACCTCCTCCTGGGAGCCTTCCCTGACTCCCGGTGGGTTGGAGGCTGTGAGAAGTCCAAGGAGGCACCTAAGTGTGATAAATCTGCCTTCATGTGGCTCACCATCAACTGGGGAGACACATGAGTAGGTGGGCAATGTCAGCATGAGGGCAGGTCCTGTCTCTCAGAAGTTGCTCGATAAAAATTAGTGGAATGAATAAGAAGGGGCAGCCTTCTTGCGTTTCCAAAGGCCTTTGGGCCTTTGTAAATGCTGTACCCTCTACCTGGAACACTTTTCTCCTTCCCTTCTCCCTTGCCCTCCCGTGGCTGACTTCTACTTATCCTTCAGACACAGCGTAAGTGTAACTCTTTTTTCTGCCTTTTCCAAGGCTTGGTTAGGTTCTTCTAGACTCCCTCAGCACTCTACACTACTCCATCCTAAAATGATTCATCTTTTTACTCGTTTACCCCACCAGACCATAAAGCTCCAAGGCAAGTCACTGTGTAATTCTGGCACAGTGCCTGGCATATAATAATTGCTCGATAGATATTTGCTGAAAGAATAGATGAATGGACAAATGGATGGAAGAACCGTATTAAGATGCAGCAGCTGGACTATTCTTATGGTCACCACCAGATGGCAGCACCGCCCAACCAAACCACCCACCTCCAGTAGAACTGCCAGACCTGTGCTCCCTCATCCCCACTCCCACCCAGTGACTCAGACAGGAGGACAGACCACAGAGATGTATCACCCACGCACACCCTGGCAGCCCCGAGAGCGGTTCTGGGCAGGAAGAAGCTGCCAGCGGGGCCTAGCACATACCCAGCATGCCGATGCCCAGCATGAAGGCGTCCATCCCATAGGGCATAACTCGAGACCTCCCCCGGGCAGAGCCCGTCGGCGACATCACCTCTTTTGGCTGAGCTTTCTTACATTCCACCTGCAATGAGACCTGGAATCAGTCTTCCTGATCGACCTAGGGTCACTGTCCCTTTTACTCCCTGGAGGGTCTATTTCCTACTAATTTTGTAACCACCAGTTGCCATCCAGTCAATTCCGACTCAGGGCAACCCCACGTGTGTCAGAGTAGAACTGTGCTCCATAGGGTTTTCAATGGCTGATTTTTTGAAAGCAGGTTGCCAGGCCTTTCTTTCTAGGCACCTCTGGGTGGACTCGAATCTCCAACTTTTTGGTTAACAGCCAAGCGCATTAACCATTTGCACGACCCAGCGATTCCATTAATTTCATATTATCATTTATGGAGCTCTCACTATGTACTAGGCACTGTGTAAACAGCTTCACATGTAATATTTCATCAATTGTTTACACCAGTTCTATGACGGAGCTACTATATTGTCATCCCCATTTCACAGAGAAGGAAATTGAGGCTCTGAGAAAGAAAGTGATCCACCAGAAGACTAGACTAACAAGTGGTAGAGTGAGGGTTTAAACCCAGGTCTCTCTGACTCCACAAGCCATGCTTTTTCACTACCATGTAACACAGCCTCCCTGTATAGATTTTCAGGGGGTGGGTGATCTGGCTCTGCCTCTCCAGCTGTGAGGCCCCTGCCTGGCTCCAGAACCTCTGAGTTTCCCTGACTGGCCCAGCCTGCACCACCGCCCCCATTCAATCCCAGCTCACCATTTTGTTGTTGATTTCATGGAAATGGATTTCACACACTTTCTCCACGATGTCCTCGCTCTCAAATGTGACAAAGCCGAACCCTAGAGGGAAGACAAGGAGCAAAGACAGTGTCAGAACCAGGGCTCATGGTCATACCACAGCACACCAGGTACCAGGGACCCTGCCACAACCCAATAGCAGCACCAACACCACCCCTCCTCTCTTGTGGGCAAGTATCTAATGAACGACTCTATCCACAGCCTAGGAGCCTCACCAGCTACCCACTGAGACAGGGTTTCTAGCCTCAAATTACAGATGAGAAAACCGAGGCTCAGCAAAGTACAGTGACTTGCCCCAGGTCACACAGCAAGTCAGAAAGCGGCACAGCTGTAATGAGAATACATTTAACATGCCTTTTCTCCTGCTCAGATGCTTTCCAAAGAGGGAAGAAATAACACACACAAATACACTCAAACATACATTTGTACACAGACACACACGCATGCAACGGATAGGCACACGCGACATGCAGGCACACACACTGGCAGACACACACACTCACACCCAGGTACCCACATATCACACATACTAAGGCTCACAGAGGCCACCTTCACATGTGGACAGTTACCCTGACACACTAGACATGCACAAATACTCACACACAGACACCTTCATGTATACAAACACACAAGGAACGTATCCCACTCCCAAAAAAGGCTGCGAGACCCAAAGCCCCAAACAACTAAACAGCCCTGTCTCCTTCGGGATGTGCCCCAGGGGCTGGAAAGGGATTTCTCAGAAGGCAAGGCCCTTGGAAGAAAAACGATCTGGCTGTGTGTCCACTGTGGCCCAGATGCTCCCAGGTTCAGGGGCAAGGGGAGGAAGCTGGGCTGAGCCTGGGGGGCGGCTGGTGGTGGCAGCAGACTACCCAGGGGCTATGGAGTCAGCCTGACCGGACCCTGGGGCAGTCTGGCCTGAGCTCCGGTTACCAGGGACAAGGGAGACTGGGAGGCCAGGCAGATACCAAGCTGGGGTGGGGGCAGGGGGCTCATTTGAGGGGGGCTGCTCCTCTGCTCCTCTCAAGTGTCTGCAACTCGGCAAGTTTCTAGCACAGGAAACAGGCGGGACAAAAGCCTTCTGTAAGGCCAGGCCCGGGAGAGGATGCAGATCCTCGGGGATAGGATGTCATGAGGCGAGATGAAAGGGCAGCTGTGACCTGCAGCCCCCTGGCTGACCACAGGCCCCCGGGGCCAGCCTGGGAAGGGGGAGGGGGCCACACTCACCTCGGTGCCGGTTGGTGGTTTTGTCAAACATCAGCATAGCATCGTCTACCTGAAATAGAGCCCGCCATGGAGGACCCACCAGGTACCAGGGACCCCGCCACAACTCGGAAGGAGGGGCTCCCGTACTCATTCCCCTTGAGTCCAGTCCAAACTTCATCCTAAGCTTGATGCCCAACTGGAGCCACAGCGCGCCCCTCCCAACCCCATTCAACCACTAGCTTCTCAATGGACCAGCCTCCATTCATGAAAGTCCTACTGTGTGCTTGGCACTTTGCCCCATATGCTTTACAAGCATCGCCCTCCCCATACTCCCACATGGTAAAAGCCCATTTTGTAGATAAAGGAAATGGGCTCAGAGAGGTGAAGTCGCTTGCCCAAGGTCACACAGCAAGTCCTAGACCAAGGCGGGAGGAAAAGGAGGCACGGAGGGGGTGCCAGAAGAGGAAGTATGGGAGCAGGATGAGAGAGATGGGGAAGCAAAAGCCTTTTCCTTTTTCCCAAAAAGCCAGGCGGACAGCAGCCATTCCAGCCAGACTCAACTCCCTCTCCTGGTTCAGATCTTTTCCTCTAATTGAGGTTTCCTTTTGCTAGAGGCTGTAATTAAAGCAAGTAGAGTTCAGCGCCTGGGCTGCTTGCCTCCCACTGACTGGGGGAAGGGAAGGGGACTGAGGAATGGGGAGGGTTTACATTACCACACTCTCTCGGACCCCAGGCTTCTCTTCTTGCTACTCCCACCACGCCTCCCCTTGGATATGTGGACAGCCAAAGACTTAGCTTCTCTTCCCAGTCCCGCCTCTTTCTCTACATCTGGTGCCTCCTCCTTGCCCTCTTAATCCTTCAGCCAAGGTCAGCTATCCCATGGGATTAACCTAAAGTCTGATTCCCCCTCCCCCAAATGGCCAGGCACCCAAGGAAAAGGATCCTGGAGCCATGGAGCACAACCTCTCCCCAACTCTTTCTTCTGTTTCCAGGCCCATCATCTGACTTGTAAGAAGTCCCCCCTGCCTCGTTCCAGTGGAAGAGGTAGACCTTAAACTAGAGTGGTCCTTCAGCTCTCTTTAGGCACCAAGCTGCACCCAGCCTCTGACTCCCCCCAGGAGAACCAGGACTCCACTGAGCCAGGACAAAGCTGGATCCCTGGAGGATCTCAGAGGGAAATGACATCCGTCTCCCCAAAGAGTTTCTTCTCCTGGGGACCTGCAGCAGAGTGCTTGCCTTACTTCCTCCCAAGGACCCAGCCTGAGTCCCAACACCAATAGGTGGTGAGACAGTCCAAGCTGGACAGACCCTTTAGGCTCAGCACTGCTTCCCCGCCCTCTGGCTTCGCCAATGGAAAAGAGAAATCCAGAAAGGAGGGTTGTGCTATGAACACAAGCTTAGAGTAGGGCAGCCCTGCTGAGGTGGAATCCTGGATCCTGCATTTGCTGGTTGGGTAACCTTGGGCAAGTGGTTTTATGTCTCCATGACTTCAGTTCCTTATCTGTAAAATGAGCATGAGAATGTCTATCTTTTTTATTACTATTTTTTAATTTTATAATACATTTTATTTAACCCAATATATCTCAAATATTCTCATTTCAACAAATGGTGTCTATCTTATTAACCAAATGCCCGTGAGTCTATTTCAATTCATGGCGACCTCATGTGTGTCAGAGTAGAACTGTGCTCCACAGGGTTTTCAGTGGCTGATTTGCTTTTTTCCAGAAATAGATCGCCAGGCCTTTCTTCCGAGGTGCCTAACCGAAAGGAACCTCCAACCTTTTGGTTAGTAGCAGAGCTCAATAGCCCTTTGTACAACCCAAGGGCTACGTCTATCATAGAGAGGAATTAAATGAGATGTGCATATAAATTTCTTAACTTGCAGTACCTGGGATGCACACACAAAAAAATCCACTGCCTTGAAGTTCATTCTGACTCATAGCGACCCTATGGACAGAGCAGAACTGCCCCATAGGGTTTCCAAGGCTATAACCTTTATGGAAGCAGACTGCCACATCTTTCTCCAGCAGAGCAGCTGGTGGGTTCGAACTTACCACCTTTCAGTTAGCAGCCAAGTGCTTAACCACTGCCCCACCAGGACTCCTACCTGCGATGCAGCAAGTTCTTCATAATGCATGGCAGCTATTATCTGTATTACAGAAGGACTTGCCCATAGTCACACGGGGGATAGTGGCAAAGCTAAAGAGCCGTCCAAGATCACTGACTCTGAAGATTCCATGAGGGCAATGGCTGTGTCAGTTATGACACTACCCTACTGAACACCTTGACTTGTAAGAGGTGCTCAATAATTATTTGTTGAATGAACAAATGAATGAATGGAGGCACCAGCCATATCTTCTCCCCTCATCTTCTTCTTTGAGTTCCTGCCTGACCCACAAACTGATTCAGTCCAATCCCTGGTCCTACCCATTTTCCTCCACCCAACCTTCCATTCCACCATCCCTGGCCCCCCAGGCCCTTCAACCTGGGTCTTGGACCCCAAGTGGGGCACTGGGTTAAAGCCAGGGCAGGGGGCAAGGAAAGTGGCTAGGGCTCCAGGGTCCCCCAACTTGTGTCCCCTCCCTAGGGCCAACTGAGGGGAGGGAGGCTACCAGCCCAGTGTCCTTAATAGGCTTTGGTCTCCATGGGAACCCAGGGGCAGGGGTACTTGGGCGGGGGGAGGGGAGGCAGCCGAGGCTTGCTGACCAGTGGGAGCCGCCAAGTTCGGAGGCTGCTAAGCCTGAGTGGCAGCCATGGCGGCTGACCATTGTTCCCCCCTCGGCGGCGGCCACTCAATCCGGGCGGGGGGCCCCCCACCGCGGGGCCCTTGGCATTCCCGGCTGTCCCCCTCGCTCCCTGGCAGCCTATTCTCCGGCTCCCCCTGGCCTCCCTGGGCCGGTTTCACATGCCAACGCCGATTTAGGCCCGAACAAAAGACGCGGCCGCTGACGGCTTCTCCTGGGGCCCGGTTGCCATGGCAACGCCGGCCCCGGGGGCAAGCGGCCTCCAATCACAGCTGCTGGATCAGATTAGTGCGAGCTCTAATGCTCGGCGCTCAGACACAAAGACACCCCGCCGGAGCTGAGCGGGCCTGCTGCTTCCCAGGAGCGCCCTTCCCTCTGGGGCCCAGGCCCGGCCTGCCCTGCGTCCTGCACCTAGGTCCCCACGGGGGCAAAGGAGCCGGGCCTCTGGTCGCACACCCCAGTACTCGCAGGCCAGAGGAGCCCCATCCTCCCTACTTATACCCTGGAGACAGGAGGCTTGAAAGCCACCCATCCCATTTCCCAAGCCATGTTCTGCTTCGCCCTCTTCCTTGGTGGGAAAGTAGGGACCCCACCTAGCCCATCTCACTTAAGAGAAGACCAGGTGACACTCCTTCAGCCCCAGACTTATAGCCTGGGCTCTTCTTTGCCATCTCCCCATGGGACCTTGTAGTCCATACTGCTCACCTTTCTGGGGAACCCTCTAGCCAGATTTCATCACAACTTCTATCTCTTCATAGCCTAAACGGCCTAGAACTTAAAGTTCGACAAAACTCAGAGCCAGCCCTCTGGGCCTGATCAGGAACTTAGGGTGCTGCCTTTAGCTCCCTCCCAAAAGCAAGGCCATCAGTGCCCCCCTACACTCTGCCCCGAGCCCCCTGCCTGGACGAGCAGGGTGCTGAGCGCAGTCAGGAGTCATATTTATTGCCTCCTTATCATCCTCACCAGGAAGAGGTGGGGGAAGGTGTAACCGCCTGTGGCCCGGACAGGTGCAAACTCCCAGGAGGCCAAGGGGTGGCTGGATTGAACTGGTAATGGGAGCACAGCCTCCCTTGGGAGCATGAAGATAAGTAAGAGAAACACACAGGGAAGGACAACAGGGACAGCCACTGTGTGCCTTCCTCCCCCTGGGGACCGGTCCAGAGTCTGAGGCCCATACACAGGCCGGGAGGCTGGACGGTGGGTTGGCTTATCCTCACTCACAGAAGGGCCCACCCCTGCTTTCATCTTTGCAGGAACTGGAGTGAGCTGGCAGGACCCCACTTGCTGCCTACCAATTTTACAGGGCTCTCCTAGCCCCAGGAAGCACCCCTGCCCCATAAGCACCCCCAGCTTGGACCAACCTTCCCAAACTGCTCAAAATATTGCTTCACGTCCTCCACTGTGGTGTTCACCGACAGCCCCCCCACAAAGATCTTCTTCGTTCGAGTCACCATCTGTTAGGGGAGGGAACGAGAAAGTGGGCATCTGAGTCCTGTGGCCTACCACCACCAGCAGGGGCTCGGGCCCCCCTGCCAGGATGCCAGCTGACAAGCTCTCTGTGGCCCCAGCCTCTTGGAAGGCCCCCCCAAGCTCCCCTTGGACCCCGCCTCTAGGCCTGTCACAGGCAGCTGTGCACCCCACACCCTGGCTGGCCTCCCGCCTGCCTCCCTCCCTGGGGTCTATGTCTGGAAAATGCCTTCCCTGAGGACTAAAACTGGGAAAGGGGGGTGGTCAGTGACCCAGACCCACAGTCTAACTCCAAGACCCCAGCAGCCCCTCTGGGAGACGCCAAGGCCCATCATACAGTCTCCCTGAACTCAAGGCCGACATTTTCCTTGCCACCCTCCTCCCAACCCAACCTCTGGCAGCCCCACAGCCCCAGCCCTGTTTTAGGAAGAACACATGGTCCTAATTACCCCAGGAGCGCATGGCTAATCCGTGGCAATTCCCAGCCCCATCCTAACACTAAAGCACCTTCTGTCACCAAACTGCTTAATGGAATTAACCCAATTCTGACCATGTGCTCCCTGGTGCGGCTTCCTTGGAATACCTGCTCCATAATTGCTTTCAGGTCCTTGGTTGGACTCTTTCCAGAGATGTCCCTTTCCTGTCTCCTAAAACTTGCTCCTCTTCCTTCTCCAAGGCAGGAGCTGGGGGGCCTTGGAGGAATCCACCGGGCTCAGAATCTTAAAAGCGTTCTAGCTCTCACCCACTTTCTCGTAAAGGGGGAAACTGAGGCCTCCTGGAGAGGGACCTCATCCTACGACACGTAAGTCTGCAAACTCAGGTGTCCTAGCTCCCTGTACTATAGTCAGCCTTCCCTCCAGTCCCTGGTATTGGGCCACTTAAACATTCAGATCTGGCTAGTTGCCCTGGAGCCTGGAATAGAATCTTAGACTCCTGTTCTCCACCAAAAGTTTTGAGTGCTATATAGCTCTACTGCCCAGAAATTCGTTTTCTGCACTCCTCTGCCCCTCCCCCCAGAAAAATTCGCCAGAGTGCCAGCAGAAGGAGAGCATTTGAGAGGGCAGCCACAGTCACCTAAGTTGAAAGACAACAGGTGACAGGGTATCCAGGGCACAGCGAAAGGTGAGATTCATTGCCAAGCTCTGGGGTCCCTCCTCTGTGAGCCCAGTGCAGCTCATCCCAGAGGTAGGAGGGTGTCTAGGGGTTTGCCCCGACTTAGCTCAACCTCAGTGGGGAGGTCTGTCCTGTGTTTGACCCCCCAGAGGCTCTGGGCACAGAGGCTATGATCTATGAAGTCAGGATTAGACTCAGGGTCCAAACTGTACTGGCTTCAAATACAGGACAATTAATCCCCCCCACCCCCAGGCTGTTCCCCTTTCTCCCAACACATGCAGCCCCTCCCCACTCCATCCCAGAGCACAAGCCACAGAGCAAGGACAAGAATATCCCCTCCTCCCACCCCAGACCATGCCGGAAACACTCTAAACAGAGGTTCCAGAAGCAACTTCTATAGCTGGGAATGCTGGGAAAATCACTGCCCAGAGTTGTCCACAGTAACAAAGCTGCTCCTAGCTAAGCACAGACACACCTACCTTAGGCTGTGCTCGTCGAGGAAAGGCCACCTTGGGGTCGATCTGAAAGAGAACGGAGAGGTAGAAGGGGCCTTGGTCATCATGCTTCAGACAGCTGATCACCAATGACCACGCAACTCATCTGGCAGCCCTGAGGACCTCTCTCGTCCCAGGACACAGAGGTACAGGACCTGCCCTGAGACCACAAGGGCCTCTGGCAGGAAACTTGTGGCAGGAAAGGGTCATGACTCTAGAGTCAGACTGCCTGGGTTTGAATTCCACCTGTACTGCTTCCTAGCTGTGAGACCTTGGACAAGTTATTTAACCTCTCTGAGCCTCAGATTCAAGCTCACCTGCAAAATGGGCAAATAATAAAATCCACCTCAAAGGGTTGCCTGCAAATGACCTGAAATAATGCATACAAAGCACTTGGCATCGTGTGTGGCTCACAGCAAGAACCTAAAAGTCTTACTCTTTTAAGGCCAGGATATGGGGAGCCCTCCCTGCCTAACTGACTTCACACAGATACCCGCCTAAGTGAGGCATGCAATTCAGACTTTGGAAGCCTTGCAAATGGAAATGCTCTTGGATTAAAAAGACTGCAAGATGAGAGTTTACAACTGCCAGGAAACTCAGTTCTGTGTCCCCAATAATATCCACATCTAACAGCTCGCCCTGACGCTACAGCCAACAGTTCCCTGATAATGCAGCTAGGCTTGGGGTGAAGCAGAGGGCAGTCTCTGGTGACGCGAAAGGGCATGGGACTTGGACTCAGAAACCTTGGGCACCTCGCCATGCCTGTGATCTTGGTAACTCGCTTGATCCCTCTGGGCCTCAGTTCCCTCATCTGCAAAGTGGGGATAATCACACTCATTCTTCCCAGGGGCAGCTCTGTGGAACCAGACGAGATAACATGGGTGAAAGCGGCCCTTTGTGAACTGCCCTGCACTGCACAAACAAAGGTGCTATTACCAGCAGGCCACCTTTGCCCTGGCTGTGAATACCAGAGGGAAAAATCAAGACACTCACCTGGCTCCTGGGACTAGGGGCAGAGTTTACATTAGAAAATCCTTGTTGTCGTTGGAGCTGGGTACCCCTGAGTACTATGCCCATACCGACAAGTAGCAAAAACTAGGGCATACGACACTGTGATCAAAGCAGGCCCTAGGAGGCTCGGTCATTCCAGAGTTTCCTGCCACCCGTATCGGTGAACATCACTCTGAAGTTCACCAGCCAATGGCAGGGGAAATCCATCTTTTCCCGAAGTTCCTTCTGTTCAAAACTCAGCCTCATTCTAGGGAACTGGCTCCAGCTCCTCTCCTGTCTGAATGGCAGGAACCAGCCTCCTACAGCCTCCCCCTCCGGAATCTGCCCACAGAGATGGAACTTCCAAAAGCTATGCTGGGGCGCTTCCTCCTCTGCCTCAAAGTCCAACTGGGCTCCAGGAAAAAATCACAGCAGTCCACTCCCCTTGACTAAAGCTGTGATTGCGTATCTCAACAGACAGTTTCATCCTTCTACTTCTTCCAGAAGCAGCCTCGGCAGCCACCAGCACACCTCACACAGGCCCGCTGCACAAACCCTGACAGGGATTTCCCAGAGACGGTACCCAAGCCGCGCATCCACAGACCTACACACACCCAATCCATGACATACCCCACCTCCACTCTGACTCACAGCTGGCAACATAAATAAACTCAACAAGTAAATAAAAGGTGAAAGTCAGAACCCAAAATAGACTCCCCACCGTAAACCTCCCTCCCACCCCCTTCCCCGGGCCGGAGGAGGCCAAACATACACAAAGCCCTTGCCCTTTTGTGTCTCCTCTGGACGGCCACCTCACCCTCCTTTCTCCCCCTCTCTCTCTTCCCTCTTATCCATCTTCCACTCCTCCGCCCCCAGCCCCAGCCCTAAATCTCAGCTTCCTGAATGTGGCCGAAGCCACCAGTGCATTCTGAGGACAGGGGATGGTAGGAGAACAGGCAGCTTGATGGCAGATAATCACCAAAAACAATAGGCCACTGTCTCTCCACTCCCAGGTCACTCCAGCCATGCCAAGAAGATCCTTTCAGAGCCGGCAAAGTTGAGGCCTCATTTGCTCGTTACTGCGAGCAGGAGTGGGAGCCACTGGGCAGAGATAACAGGAGCTGGGGACAAATTCTTGGGCACAGCCAGCTATTGTTGCAGGTAAACAGGAGCCAGTGGCTGACCCAAGCAGGGAGGCCCAGGGCCCAGGGAGTGTGGGGGAGTGCAGAGAGAGGACAGCAGATTGTACTGTCTCCCTGGCAGACAGACAGACACCCCTATCACAGAATCACCCCTCCTCTGATTTTCTCCTTTTCCCTCTCCCCTTGAGCCGGGCCTCAGCCAGCGCCCCCTGCAGGGGCCAAGACACTGAGGAGCAGTGGGACAGCAGCAAAATGTTCCAGGAGTTTGAAGGCCAAACAAGCAGCATCTTGCTAAGAGCTAGTCCTCAGAGGGGGTCCGTGAGGGTTGTTTCTAGGCAAGCTAGCTGCCCTCCCATAAATCGCCTTGTGGGCAAAGCAGGTCCTAGTCTTCCACACAAAGCAGGAGCTCACTGACCAAAAGTGGGGGAGGAGGGAAGAGAAGAGGAGAGGGGCTTAGCCATGCTGTACCATTGGTCTGGAATTGGGGGGGCAGCGGGGGGGGGGGTAGGTTCAGAGCCAAGTACTAGTTAGAGTTCGAGAGCAGCCACCGGGTGGGTCGCTACAGACCTGACTCACCCTATTTGGGCTAGGGGAGGGACCTAGCCCCACCCCTAGCTCCACTCTGAGGCATCCCGATTAGTACTTATAGGGAGGGAGGTGGGTGGTAGCTGCCTCTTCTCTCCTTAGTCAGCCGGGGGGCTGAGGGGTGATGTGGCAACGCAAGCAGTCCTGGGGTTTTTCTCCTCCTTCTCCCCCCAACTCTAGTGACCAAGTTTCAGAGCATGGCAGCACCCCTATTCAGAAAGCTCCCTCCTCCCTCAAGGACGCCGTCCAGCTGTTCCCCGGGGAGAGTCCTGACCCTCTCCTCCTGCGGCAGCCCCCCTCTCCCAAAGGACCCCCCAAGCCCTGAGGGCCACTCACTGTTTTGGAGTCGAGCTCGTGCCGCGATTGCGCCAGCACTTTATCCACCCCCGCCTGGTCCATGAAAGTGACGAAGCCGAAACCCCTGCGCGCCGTAGTGAGGGAGAGGCAGATGGTTACAAGGCAGTGAGTGGCGGATAGTGGGGGGCGAGCCGGGAGCAGGAGGAGGGGGTGAGGGGCTCACCTGGATCTCTTGGTCAGGGGGTCCCGCATCACCAGACACTCCTTCACCTCCCCGAACTGGCCGAAGTATTCCCGCAGCCCTTCTGTAACCACACACTCGCCTTCGGACCAGCTCGGCCCGGTGCCCTTCCCCCCC